GCACTCCATTTAACCTCTTCCCAACACATATACACACTATTTGCCTTGTCTTTCCTCATGTTAATTTTCTCACACCCTGAAAACAAAACCCCGCCTACTTTGGTCACCTTTTAGTCGTGAAGATAATAATTTTACCACGACGACCAAGTAAACTACGAGCTCTTCTTCTTCTTCCCACTTTCTCTGTCCGCGTTATTGCATTATGCTTTCTCTTGTTCTTAACACGCCGGAGAAACTGCCTAACTCAATTGTTTCGAGTCGACTAACAAGCGACTTATGCACCCATATCTAGTCTCTCTCTTTCCCGCTATAATAATTATCACGGACGAGGGGATCAGAACGACGACGAAGCCGCCTCGCTTTCTCCGCAAAAGTTTGAATGGTAGTTTTGCTAAAACAATTATGACAGAGCTGGAACAACGAACCACAGTGAAATCAGGACGCTCTATTCTGTAGACATTTTTGTTTCAAACAAGAAGGAAACAAACCCGAGGAGTGTGTTTGGTTTGGTTTTACATGGAGGAAAGAAGGGGTAAGATTGCTATTCGGGGTATTCGGGACATGGTTTTTGTAAGTTTGTGATTAAATTTGTAAAATTATTTTTGAAAATTGGGTCTGCAAAATTTGTTGGGTTAATAATGATTCGAAGTCGTAAATACCTAAAATGGCGGGAGTTAATGTAGTGTCCGTTTTGCGCTGAATGAAGTGCAATAAATAAGCGCCATCTAGTCGGTCGCCCAAATTCTTGCACGTGTTTTTTATACTTATTGCGAAAACTTAAAAAAACTCCATACTTTTGGGTGAAAGTAACCACTTGCAAGAAATAAGGTGTAGAAGAAAGTGGTTTCTTGCAGGGGAATATTTTGACCTGTGAGAAATGCAAGGTGGGAGAAACGACGCCCCGCTGCTGGAAATACTCCATACGGCGCGTCGCTAGATGGCACATGTTTCTTTCACTTTCTCCCAGTTTCTTGCACCCAAGAAATATAGCAAACCCACAAGAAACAAAACACATTATAGTCCCCAACGTTCCGCAGGCCTTGGTTGTGGTAGCTTCTCTTTTCAATTGTGAGCCGCCTCGCTATTGAAACTTTCTCTCCCTTTCGCACTAACCTTTTCACGGCTATTGTTCTCATCTGGTAAGTTATAGATCCGAATTGGGTGCAAGTTACGTAGCTGCCAAGTAGGATGTCTGCCTGGTAAAAGTCCTGCAGCCCTGTGTATGCATATACATAATGGGCAAACTCTCCTTCCCTCTCTGTATGTCTGTCCGTGATGGAGAAAGCTTCAAGTGCAGAGTTGTCGAGTAGGTAGTCAGTGGCCGCGGAAGGGTGAGGGCAATGTCCCCAGGGTTGTTCAATGTCCCCATAATTATCTCCTCAATTTATACAAACCCCGACCTTTCCCTATCCCACAATGTTAATGTCCCCACGATTATTCGATGTCCTGATCATAACAAAATTCCGTTTGTGTTAGGATTTAAATTTGGCGCTGAATTTCATATTGCCCCTGAACGGCTTAATTCACCCCAAACCCCTTTAGAAAAGCTACTAAACTCGTATTACATAAACCCCCAATGTTAATGTCCCCAGATGTCCCCCCGGGTATTCGATATCCCCATCACCTCCCCCTTGTTATTTAACCCCGTCCCTTCCCCCTATTCCCTCATGCTAACGTCCCCTTCTGTCCCCACACCTTCCGCGGCCACTGGTTGGTATGCATATAGCCAGAGACATACATAATTACTGGAGAAACCTGACTGCTGCCCTGTGTCGTGTTGTGTATCATATTTCTGGGAAACTTTGGGATGTGAAAATTACCAAGAATTATTATCCTCTCACTCTCACTCACTCATCACCACCACGTCGTCGTCGTCGTGGAAATGAAATGAAATGAAGGCGACGGACCAAGCAACGAAACAACTTTTGTATTTTGCCGGCGGCCAGAAAACTTTCACCAGACAATTGAGTTGCCTGCTTTCCCTGGGTGGCTGACAAATGCACGCATCCGACGGAGGAGGAAGAGATCATTTTCGCGACAAGGAGAAGGGTCGTTGTCAACAACAAGAACGAGCGGGGGTTAGAGGACAGGACAGGTTCGCGGGGCCCGAGAAGGTGGATAAGAGGTTATCGTGTGAGGAACCTATTTTTACTGGGAAATTTGGCACACTTAAATCAACACCAACTTTCCAGAAACAATGCAATTTTTCCAGAAACATCACCATTTTTCTAGAAATTACGCCATATTTCTTTCCATTTTCCTCACTTTTTTGCAAAGTGTTAGATTCCTTACACTATTTCGGAATTTTTTAAATAAGAAATTGCAAAATATTAAAGCAAGAAATAAGCGCCACCTAGCGCCTCTCCTTTTGTACCACACTGAATTATGCGGATTGTCCACTAGATGTCGCTCATTTCGTGCATTTCTTTCACTCCTGCAAGAAATTATGCCTGCTTAAAACCTATTTCATGTATTAATTTCTTGCACGTGGTTTTTTTGCAACCAATTTGCACATTAAAATTTGTACAAGTATAAAATTTCGAGTCAATTAGATCCTTATAAAAATAATGACGGACGAACCGACACTACAATCCTGTAAGATCTCCCTCCCCATAAAAAGTAACGGACCAACCCGTTATGAAGGCGGACGCGGAAAGAGGGAAAAATTCCACAATCCGGATCGACAAGAGAGCCCGGAAATGAAGTGTTGACGGTTTTGCGGGGGAAGCAATAAGCATATTGTAAATGAAAACGACGACCGACCGACTTTTCCCATCAGACTCACCGAATTATGCCATCTCCTCCACCGGCACAAAAAAAAACTTGTCATTTTCACCTTTCTTCCTGAGATCGGGACCCAAATAAAAAGTAACTTGAGAGCCAAAAAGAGAAAGCGAGAGGATTGCTTACTCGGGGAAATAAATTATCAAAAATTGCCACCACTTACTTATTTCTTGTTGGCAGAGTTGTGCAATGGTTGGCGGGTGAATTTTGAATTTTTGTCTTTTGATTAAAGGAAATTCTTGGCATTTTGGGCATACAAATAATTACCGGGTTGAGAAGTAGATTTATAAGATTGGCCTTATGACACTATAAATTTAAATACCCCCAAAAAAATACCCCCGACATGTTCCCAAGTACAACTCTACCACCGCATTTGCCTTCGTTCCCACCATTCATTCCATTTCTAATGTTTCCCTTCTCACTCTACAAATTGACAGGGTTTGGAGTATTATAGCACGATTTGAAATATGTGAAATGTGTGATTTTTGTTATCATGCCGCAAAAATTAGACAACCTTGTTTAATCCGTGTTTTAGATTAAGACCAGCTTGATATTCGGATTAAGCATGAAATTCTGAGCATTTTTCTATTTATCCGACTTGACCTGTTTTTGATCAACTTTCCTTTCAACACAAATCAAATGCAATTTGCAACTTTATCCTAATTCGAATCGAAAAATAAGAATTTCATGCCGAATCCAAATATCAAGTTGGTCTCGTCCTAAAATATATCTTAAACAAGTTGTCTCACTTCTCCCCTAAGTAATATCACAGGTTGTGAAAATCACAAAAATCACACCACGTGATAATCCCAGTTCTCGAAACCCTGCCTTCCTCCACATTTGTAAAGTTGTACCAATCACATTTTTTTCCGGGGTGTAAAGTAAAGTAAAGTAAATAAAAAAGGTGAAATTTACCACTTCAAAGTGTTTCCTTCCCGATTAAAGTGCGGGTTTAAGTTCATTCCTTCTTCTTTTTTTGAGAAATTTCACCCCGAAAACCAAACCAGGCAGTTCCCTTTTTTTCTACATCTTTACAACTCCAATGGCACAAAGGAGTAGTGAAGGTACGGGTTTTTCAGTGGCCGCGGAAGCCGTGGGGACAAAGGGGGACATTGACATGGTAGGATAAGGAGGAATGGACGGGTTTATATAAGATGGGGGATGATGCGGACATCGAACAACCGTGGGGACATTGTCCCCTGTCCCCACGCTTCTGCGGCCACTGAGTACATAGAAAAACTAACAGGCAGTGGCCGCAGAAGTCGTGGGGACATTAGAATTGTAGGATAAATGGGGAGGCCCGGGATTATATAAGATGGGGAGATGATAAATATTCGGGCAAAGAACAAAAGTGAGGACATTGTCCCACTCTGTCCCCACACCCTTCCGCGGCCACTGTGTTCGCTTTGCATGGAGTTAGCTGCACACTTCGCCTGGGCCAAAACCACCACGACCACTTTTGAACCACCACCGGCAATAAATTCAACTGCGGCCTCGTTCTGTTCTCTAATCGAAAAAAATCCTGGGTTCAAGTGTTCTACAAAAAAGTATTATTATTATTACGTTCGGGCGACGTAATAGTAATGACTTCTTTTGGAGAAAATGAAATTTTTGGTGGCATGTGACCCCCCATTTTTTGGAAACATTTCATTCATCCTGAGTAGAAATTACTATCGAATTTTGCAATTATTGACAAAAAGCGTGATGCATATTCTGCATATTTTTGGCAAATTTTTGGCACACGAATTCTTGTTCTGTAAAATAGTGTGTGAATAATTTTACATAGTTTTTCGCACAAAAATTTGCTCCGAATAAAGTTTTTATGGACAAAATCGGGTCAAATTTGGACAAAAATTGGCCGAAAAAATTTTTCTGGAGGAAATCAGACCAAATTTGGACACCAAAATTGGCTCAAAAAGTTTCGGGAAAAATTTCTACAAAAAAGTTGGACCAAATTTATATAGAAACATCCCAGCCGGCACAATCCCGCTATATCGCCGCGATATCGACTACGGATTTCGCTCAGCGAATCCAGGCAAATCGCTACGTATTAGTCGCGAAATTGGCGCTAGATGGCCGGCGATTTATTGCTATATCGCAGCGATTTAACGACGAAATTTTCTCCGATTTCGCAGGGATTTCGCTCATGGTAGCTCAATCGTTTTATGATCCTTCGCAATGAATTCGTTGCGATACGGAGCTAGATAACTACGAAAATCTCTCCGATTTCGCAGTGATTTCGCTCATGGTAGCTTACTTTATTCAATGATACATCGCCTTGAAAATCAATACAAAATTCAAATGATTCAAATTCAAAGTGACAATTTATTTGAAATTGACACATACGTTGAAAAGTATAACAACAAATATCAAGCAATAGAATTAGAACTTGCTGCCTGTTCACCATCCACTGGGTTTATTGTAGGAATAATAGGTCCATTGGCTGCTCTCCTGTTGATTTTATGACATTTTATAGATCTCATTAAGAAAAACAAATATTTTATTGTTGTCTTACTTCCGAGTTCTTAATCTGTCTGCAGCTTTCTTCAGAGTTTTGGGAATCGCCAAATGTAGAGCTTCCAATGTTGCATTTGCCTTGATCTTAGTGTTGCATTGAAGTCCAACTGAACAAAATAAATTAAAATGCAGCAAAAGTAATACCAGACCTATTTTAAAGAATAATATTTACTTTTCTTACGTAATAAAGCATCATTCAATTCCACGTATGATAAGAATGCAGTTTTTTTACTCTTTCCTTTGAAGCTATGTAATTCGGCGACCTCTTCGGTCATCAGTTTGTTAAACATGAGATCAACTGCGTCCTCAATAGTGCCTCCACCACATCCTCGCAAAATTTCAACCTAAAATATTAATTGGGAAACGATTTAAGAAGAGTTTATACTTTTACAGGCAATTACATAATTTCGATAAAAACGATAATAGGACACATGTACTAACCATTTTTTTACGAGCCCATGCATCACGTGTCAGAAGTAATTCAAGATTTCTCAGGCTTTCTATATTTTTGCACGGAAAGGTTCCAACTTCAAATTCATAAGTCAAGGGCACACGGACTGACGATAATTGTGCAGCAATTTGTTCCGTAATTGCAGCAAGACTACGGCCATGCTCCTGCAGGGTCAGCGACATGGATTCCAATCTTCTCAAAACTTCAGCTTGGAAATCTAATGAAAGCATAGGAGAGCATACATTATGATTTAGTTTCGGACTTATTTAATACTTTCGTCTTACTGTTGTCGTCCACGGGTTGGTAATAAATAATTTCGGGATTTTGATTCGTATCAGATAGAGGAACGGCGACTTCTTGTTCCACATTATTATCAAGGGGCGTGTTAACTGCATTGCTAGATGCCAATATTTCAGAGTCCATGACCAGGGCAGGATGAGTAGGAAAAGAAGGCAGAGAAGTTGGGATAGATCTTCTTTTACCAATTTCTGCTCCAGAGAGGTCAGACGTTAAAGTCGCATCGTTCAGTTTTGTGTGAGCTGCCTCATAAGTTTCTACAAATAAAGAGATATTATTGATTGAAATAAAAGAGTCGAGATATGTGACAGGATTTGAAACCTACCATACCATTTAAGAATCTTGACTTTGTATAAGAATCACCAGGTGCGAGGTTTTTCTTAACCAATTTTTTGATACTCTTCGTGCCACTTGGAGGGTAGTATATTTCGAGATTATTCTCACACATCCAAGCTTTGGAGATAACAGCGACTGAGTTATCGTCCTCAAAACTCGCAATGCCGAACACCTTCGCCATCCTGGAACTTAGAATGAAGAATGGGAAAAAGTCCAATGGAGTAACTTAATTTAGTTATTGCTACTAATTTATATTTAATGTCAAGCAAATTAAACCTAAAGATTTCCTCCGTTAAATTATTAAACTTCACTTTATAAATATCAAGAAGTTTTGAATCACAAGGGTAACTAAATAAGTTCTTTGACTCTTTGAATCTTCTCCCAACGAGTTCGGTTTCACCACATTTATTTATGTTTGTAACACTAATTATGTATCCATTATTTAGTAGCACAAAATTATTTGGAGTATTAGTTCTAACAATTAATTTGCTCGTAAGCTCCGCCTGCTGGACTGCATCTGCCTCGTGCTCATTTGTTTTAAACTTTCCACATTCTCTCTCGGCCAATCTGCGATGTAGTTGGGGTAAAGGTTGAGCAGATGATCTAATCAATCGTTTTAATTGATATAAATAATTTTCAAATTTGAACGCACTAAATTTATCCAGATTACCATGCAATCGAACATCGTTGGCTATGTGAATGAGCCCATGTATATTATAGGAAACATTTTCCTTGCCATAAATTTCCATGAAATTATGAACAAAATATTCTAAAAGCTGTTCGGCATAATTTATATTCTCCTTTGATTGGCATGGCTCTGCAAGTAATCTGGTAGCCACACTAAGGAGCATAAAATTTCTGTAATATTTGTCACTTATGTTATTTTTTAGCACTATGGGGCCCGTGTAGAGGAGAAAGGTCCTAAGTTCTGTGGCCTTCCAGCGATCCAGCTCTCCCAATGTCCTTGGCTTTCTAGCAAAGTCATTCGTCACAAATTTTTTTGTATATTCTAAATGATCTGAAATTCTAATAATTTCTTTGGAGCGTAGTCTGTGGCGGGAAAGTTTCTTATCTGTCCATAACTTCAATATTTTTTTAGTCGCTCCGAGACAAATCAGGTGCATGTATTCAAATGGAAAGTCGTTCACCATGTCAATATTAAGTGATTCAAGTGGTGAATTGCCATGATGATGTTGCCTTTGTGTTTGGTTTCTAAAACTTAAATTCGTCCTAAGGATAATATCAGTCTTTAAAAATACGGTTCGATTTTGTACACGTTGGCCTTTGACCTCGCATTTTCCACACGAGAAATAACCCGAGTGGCCCTTTATGCAGCAAATAAAGGCACGAGCTGGCGCGTCGCAAATAAATGAACTAGCCTCTATTTGGAAAACAAATTGGTTGTAAAGTAATCCATTTAATTGTAAATCTGTTAACTCCTCGATGAATTCTTGAAAATATAGATTTAAATCACCAGGTTTCTCAGTTCCGCAATATAAAGCAACGGCATACACGTAATCTGTATTCATGACATGAGCCAAAATTGGCCACAACTGTTTGCTGTTGCTCTTATGAAGTGGAAGTCCATCTATGTTGAATTGAAGAGATATTTTATTTTGGCGTTCACTTATTAAATCAGATAATATTGGTCATAATCCTTTTGATATGCCAAGATAGCAAAATTCACCATTTCCCACCACCGAACTTTGTGTGGACCTTGGCGTACGTAAAAGCGTCCGGGCATCAGCAGGAAAATTAGTAAAACACGGATGGGTTTTTAACACCAGAAGAAGCTGCGATAAAGCTTCTCTTGTAATGTTATATTTTAAACTCCAATTTTTAATTCGATTTATAATGTTCACATTGGTAACACTTTCTATATCACAACTTTCTGAAATTTCACAAATGACTGTCGCTGGTAGTGTCGTTATATTTGGTGTATCTAGTGAAGCTTGTGCGGCCTGACACGTTCTTTCTAGGCGGTGGACAACTTCATTTTCGCAAAAATTTGTTTCTTGATTTTGGAAGTAATAAAGCTCTTCGGTTTCCAAAGAATTTGATCGGGGAGTACTACTTTTTCTCGTTTCGTATTGTAGTTTACGAGACTTTTTCAAAAGTGTTTGAACTGTCTTACTCAAATGTCTACGCCTTGACCTTTGACTCAAAGCATAAGGGCGAGAAGGCATGTCACCGCCCGTCACATCAGCTGTCTAGTAATCACGGAGCATGCTTCTCTCTAACTGCAGTCAAACCAATAAATCGCTACGAAATCGCTGTTAATGAGCTTAGAAATATTTGCAGAGTATAAAGCGATTTTAAGCGATTTTAAACGTACCGATTTCTCCGCTATTTCGCAACTACTCGCGCACTGAAAATGTTATCCAGCTATATCTCTTAGATTTAGCAGTTACTACTGCAGCGATTATTGAGCGATTTTGGGCGCTAGAAAATGTAGCTCAATAATCGCTCTCATCGCAGAGATATCGTTCAGCGATGTGCCGGTTGGGATAGAATAAAAGCCTGTTTTGCAGAAAATTAAGCAAAATTTCCGAAAAACAAATGTAGCAAAATTTCTAAAAATGTCCAAATTATTACTCGAGTGGGACCTGAAAAATGCGAGTAATCACGTTTTGTTGGTTAATAAAATTGTTTATTCTTCTATCAGTGTGTTTTTGTAAAAGAGAGATTTATTATGCGAGGTTACCATAATTCAGGTTTTCCCGCCTGGAAGGAATAATGTAATGCGAGTGACTGGCTGATCTCGATCAAGATGAAGAAAGAAAGGAAAGGATGACGAGCGAGAAAAGAGAAAGTCAGCCTGCCTGCCAGCCGTTTGGAACCGTAACAGCTTGTCTGCAGTGAATTGCATCCCATCGCATCACATCCAGCAGTCTGCATTGGCAGAGTTGTACGGGGGCCGAGGGCATGGAAAATGAAATGTGGGCATTTTTGGCATCCAAATAAGTAAGTGGCATTTTGGGCATGAAATTACGTAAATATGGGCAATTTTGGCATGGAATTATGTAAATTTGGGCATGAAATTATGTAAATTTGGAAAATGTGAGCATAAAATATATAATTTTGGCCAGGAAAAATTAAATTCGTTGATTTTGGGCATGTAAATAAATAATTTGCATTTTAGGCCAGAAAGAATAACTGAACATTTTTGACACTAAAATCAATTAGGACATTTTGGGCATGCAAATAAATTATTGGAATGTTGTACACGAAAATGCATGATTTTGGCAACATAAGGACATTTTTGGCATGAAAATAACTACCCCGAATTTTGGGCATGGCGTTAAATACCATATATTTATTATGGCATTGCACTTATGCCGGGATAAATTTAAATATCGGGCAAACCGGGCATCTCATCGATTTACATCTCTACCTACCCTGAACTGAATAAGTGATAAAAATTACGCAATGTTTTCCCAACCGGGTGAAGGTGAAAGTATGCATTTTGTCGCAGTGGCCGCGGACAGAGGGACAATGTCCCCACGGTTGCATTATCTCCCCATCTTATGCAAATCCGGCCCTTCCCTATCCTACAATGTTAATGTCCCCACCTGCCCCCACAACTTCCGCGGCCACTGTTTTTTCTATACAATGCGGAGGCGGAACCCCGACAAAGGTGATTTTCTTTATGACGGAGAAGAGAGAAAAGAGACGAGAACATTTTCGGATGTAGTCAGTCAGCTGAAAAATTATGCCGTTTTTTAAATTAGCTTGTAAATCAATGGGGATAAAGATTTATAGGGTTTTGAAATTCCTACATCTTATTAAATCTGCGTGACGCGCGTAATTTTGTTGCAGCGTAATTTTAGCTGGAGATGGAGAAAGTTTGGAGAGAAAGCGAAATGGCAAATGGTGCAGTGCTGGCTGGTAACACATGAACAGCTTCTTCGTCTTGTTGGACAGGGTTCGGAAAAGAGAGGCTTTATTTTCATAGGTAATTGTACAAAATACGAGGTGTTTTTTTGTGATTTAGTGTGAAAACAGGTAAAAAATTGCAATGATATTTACTAAAAGGCGTTTTGGTTAGGCAGGGTTAGTAAAAGATTGGGATTTTTGTAAATAAATAATGTAAAATAGGTTTTTTTTTGTTAAATGTGAAAATCAAGTAAAAATTCCCATTTATTAAAAAGCGTCTTATTAAACAGGGTGCATAAAAAATTGGATTTTTAAGTTTCGGAATACCAGGTATTTTTGTGTTAAATGTGAAAATCAGGTAAAAATTGTCATAAACTTTATTAAATGGCGTCTTATTACCCATGGTTTCTGAAAAATCGGATTTTTTATGAAAAAATGCAAACACAAAGTGTTTCTCGTGTTAAATGTGAGAAACAAAAGAACAGAATATTTATCAGTGTACAACAAATTTTTCATCATCAATTTTTAATAAGAGTTAAAGATTTTATCTATGGAAATTTCCAAGTAGACGAAAGCTTTAAATTGTATGAAATTATTTCTATGAAAAAAATTGCATGACATTTCACTCCAAAGTAAACTTTCCTTCTGCCCAAAAACTATATCTGAGCACCCTGTGTTTCTCATCTCGCTGTTTTTGTCTCTTTTTTCCTCGCCGTGTCGTATCATCATCTCGCATCATCATTCACGACGCAAAATGCAGTGCAGCATAAGCACACATTTTTTGTATGACACAACCAACCAGTGGCCGCGGAAGCGCGGATTGGGGACAGAGGGACAATTTTATTCAGGGTTGTTCGATTTCTCCATCATCTCCCCATCTTAAACTTATAAACCCGTCCCTCCCTTATCCCACAATGTTAACGTCCCCCGATGTCCCCTCACCCCTCCGCGGCCACTGTACCCAACCACAACACTCGCTCGGTCTCAAGAAGCTTTCCCATCTCTCGAGGCATTCTGAGCCGAAAAGTAACCACAAGTCGGAGACATGTCAAACGGGTGAAAACCATATCTCAATTTTAAATCAATAATCAAAATTCCCAATCTGCCCGGTAGGCAAATGGTGGGATAATTTCCGAATTTGTCAAGTTTTCCATTTCACGGAGGAGAGTGTGTGTGGGTGGATGGATTTTCTCATTTATTTTCCACCCGGTATTTTAAACCGGGTAGAAATCAGGGTGTCGAATTTTGCAGGGAGAGACGAAAACTGGATGCATTGCATAATTTTTTTTGCATAATCCTGCCCAAAATTTTATTTTTCTATATTCTGCATAACGGCATCTGCATAATTCTGTGCAAAATTTCTGAAAAAAACTTTAAATTTTTACTCGAGGGTCTCACCTACTCAAAATTTGTTTTATTTTGCATAATGGTAACGTGCATAATTATACATGCTTTTTTGCATAAAAGTTAGCGCAATTTTATTGCACAAAACCAGGCTAAATTTCTGCAAGAAACCGTTAAAATTTTTACTCGGGATTCCCACCTGTCCAAAATTTCTATCCATTTTTACTCTCCAGAACCGCACATGCATAATTCTACACCAATTTTCTGCCCAAAAATTACCCCCACATAAACTTTTTCCTGTCCAAAATCAGGAAACCCGTCCAAATTTTTGCCCGGGTATCTTCCCTCCTCCCTACATTTTACCAAATTCCATGTCGGTCAACATGTTACACGTCGTCCGGTAACATGAGCACAGAATTACGTGTACGTACACAAGTGGGCTCTCGTCAAGCTGTTGAGTTTCGTGGGTACAGAAAAAAACCGACTTTTTGCCTACTTTCCCCCCATGGCACGTTCGTTCCTTTTTTCGTCATTCACCCATCCGTCGATCCATCCAAGTTTAAGTCAGTGCCGGCGGAAGCAGGGGGACATTTTCTCCCCAAGAAAATGAAGCAAAATCGTATCTTGTCAATTGTTAATAAGCTCTTTTTACAATGATAATGTCCCCACATGTCCCCCGCCCCCCGAACTTCCGCGGCCACTGAGCCAAGTTTAAGTTATTGATGTTCTTGTTCTTGTACTTTGTTGTGCTCGTTTTCGAAGCCAGAACGACCACGAGGAGGAGTCCCGTCGCAGCCAAGCAGTATGTGTATAACGGTCGATTAGAAAAATCGATAGGACAAAGAGGAGCAAAATAGACACACAAACATGGAGATCAGTGCCCGCGGAAGGAGAGGGTGGGGGGACAGAGGGGTAATGTCGGTAAGGGTTGTAGTGTGATGTTTTATTTACTTAATCATTGGCTGAGGAAGCTTGAGGGGACAGAGGGACAATTTCCCCATGGGTATTCGATGTCGTCAACGTATATAAATCCGTGCTTCCCTTCCCTATCCTACAATGCTAATGTCCCCAAATGTCCCCATGGGTATTCCGTATCACTATAATCTCCCCATGTTATATAAACCCTTCCCCTATCCTACAATATTAATATCCTCCCATGTCCCTAAGGGTATTCAATGTCCCTATAATCTACCCCTCTCCCCAATCCTGTAATATTAATTTCCCCACATGTCCCCAAGGTTATTTAATGTCCCCATCTTATAATACCCTTCCCTCCTTCCCCTATCCCACAATCTTCCTGCCCCCCCCCCCCCCCCCCGGCTTCCGCGGGCATTGCATCCCCAAATGAAATGAAAGCAAGCATGAGACAGACAGGAAGGAATGAATAATGGGATGTCCCCATCTTATATAAACCTTCCCCTCCCTTATCCCAAAATTCCCCCTTTGTCCCCTCCCCCGCTTTCCGCGGACACTGTACCCCCAAATGAAATGAAAGCAAGCAAGCACGAGAGAGGAAGGAATGAATAATGGACACGATTGTGTCGTCCAGGACTAAACGGACATATTTTTGGCTGGGCCCGTAACACAAAAGCCGTGGCAGTAATGTGGCCATCCAACAGTTTACCGTGTGTCATCGATTGATTACACGAATCCAATTTTAAGCACGGCCTGAAAATTGTGTCCCCACTTTATTCAATTTAATTATGCCAAGGAAAAGCGAAAGAGAGAGATCATCATTTCGATATTGGGGCTTATCTGGCTAAGAATTGTGGACGGAACGACACGACACCTCCGTCGAAAGTGGGGTGGAAAATGATAAGATCACGATGATAAGAGGTTGTTCTCTAACAGAAAAGGAAACGAATATTTTCTCATTAAGGGGAAACCTTGTATGGCTTGAGAGAGAGAGAGAGTTGTCACACGGTCCGAAAT